ATTTAATGTTTGTAATAGTTGTAATAAATTTTTTAAAGATTTTTATTAATTTGTTTTATTTTAAAATTTTATAAATTTGTTTAGTTATTGTTGTGTTATTTTTGATAAGTGGTTTAGTAAAGATTATTTGATGTTTTTTTATTGATTTATTTTTGATAGTTTTGTTGTATAGTTAAAAAGGCATTATTTATTTATTTTTTGTTTAGGTTTAATTTTATATTTAGTTTGTAATATTGTAAGATTAATAAGAAGTTTGTTTATGTATTATTTTTATTTATTTATTTGAATAGATTTTTTTAGTATTTTTAGAGGTTAAGATATTAGAATTAAAAATTTTTTATATAATTAATCTGTGTGTTATTTATTTTTTTTTAGAGTTATATCTATATAATATTTTTGTACATTATATTATATTATGTTTTTAAATATTATTTTTGGTTTAAATAGTTGTTGATATATAGTTAGTATTAGAGTTATTATTTGGGTTTGTTGATCCATATGGGTCACTTGATTTGACAGGTCATAGAGTGAAAATTGCTTTAATTCAGTTAATTGGGTTAGAATTCAAAACGTGCAAAAATTTATTATAATGTTATTTATTTATGTAATTGCTTAATCCTGGGCAGTTGGGTATAAGCAGGGCTGAAAGTCCCACTTATACACATAGTGCTCAGGGTATAACTGATTTATACCCTGTGATTTTGATATAGTAACTAGGGTATAAAAGAAGATATTATATGTATATATTATATAAATTTTAAAGTATTTTATCTGTGTTGTCTGATCTGTACGGGTTAGTTTCTTGACAGGTATGCATTTCAGAAGTAGAAAATGAATAAATTTAAATCGCATATAAGGTTTAAAAATTTTTAACATAAAATTCGAAAATTTTTAGTTTAAATTCTTGTAGTATGTAGTATAATTTAGCAGTTTCAATTAAGTGTCATTATTTTAACTTTTAAAGATTAGCTTCAAAAATTTTATAAATTTTATCTGATCTGTTGACTTGGATTACAAATTAGGTTAGTTCCTAACCTGCTTGGGTTGGTATTTTCTAACCTGAGTTAGAACTTTAGTCAGTGTTATGGTTTATATAGAATTTGTTAGGTTAGTTAGAATTTGTACAATTTGTATTTGAATTGAATGCAAACTAAAATAAAAAGTTGGTAGTGTGTTTACTAAATATATGGTATTATTTTGATAATTAAATTTATATTGTATCTTTTGGTCATGGGTGTTAATGTATTATTTATATTGAAGTTAGAGTGAATTATTAATTAATTTTTTTTTTGTTTGAGTTATTGAATGTTACTCAAATTGCATGTTTTAGTTTATGTTTTGTGGGAAGTTTATACTATTGTTAAAATAGAACTTATTTTCAGTTGTCTGTATAATGATAATAATCTATACATAGTGTATTATTTTGCAAGGATTTTTCTTTTTATATATATATTTATATTGATTATATTTATTATTTTTAATTGTATAATGTGTAGTTATGAAACATGATGTTTTTTTTTATTTAGTTACTATTATAATTTAATATTAATATTTTCTTTTTTTATTTTGTTGTAAATATGACTAGTTTAGTATTTTTTTTTATCATCATAATTTTTCATTAATATATTTAACAATGTTTGTTATGTCGTTAGAATGATTTAATTATAGACCTTTATTTTGTATTTTTATATTTTTGTTTAAAGAAAAAATTGGCAGATTTGTAATTATATGTTTTTAAAAAGGTTGATTATATATTATTATATCAGTATTACTTAATATATTTGCATTCATATATAAGTTGATGTTGTTTTGGAGTTTTGATTTTAGATTTGTGTATGTATATAGATTTGTTAATTTTTTATTGTGTTTACTGAATTTTTTAATGCCGTGTTATGCAGATACGATTGTTAGAATCAAGTACATGTCTTAGAATGTAAATGAGGTATAAATTCTTTGGTTGTATAGGCTTTTGGTTCTTATTCTATAGAGTGTGAAGATTATGATATTGAAATGTCTTTGTTCATTCCGTTAAATTTGGATGATAGAGATCCTGAGACTCAAGCGATTTTTAAGAAAGATACATTTTTTTTTGTTGGCGGTAAAATTATTCCTGGGTATTATAGTGGTGTTAGAAGAGCAAAGGTATTATTATATATATTTATTATATATATATATTTATAGTAATAATTTTGGGTGTATTAATTTTTTGTTTAAAAATTTTAGATGACAGTATCAATATCCATGCATATAACTATTCTTAATAAAGTTACTGAATCGAATAAATGTCCTTTAAAGGTATCATTAGTTGGAATTCCTCAAGATGCACCAAACGAGATTCAGGATGATACTATTATTAAAACATTAGTAACTGATTATTGTGATCAGGAACATAATTTCGTAATGAAGATTGTTTTTTCATATTACAATCCTCGATTAATGTGGTTGAAAGATATGATTCGTCCTCAGGAATCTTTGATTTTTGTAGTTGGACAAATAGAAATAATTTCTAATGAATTTTATATGTATGCTAAGGAGGTTAATTATATTAATACAAGCTTTATTAGTAAGAAAAGGTTTTATAATAATAATGCTTCTCGGGAGTCTTCAACAGTTCGTTCTAAGCTTTTAACTACTCATCAAAATATTACTGGAAGTTCTAAAGACAAATAGTAGATGAAGTTTCAAGTAGTTCTAGTGATCATGCAGTTGATTCATGTTCAATGGGTTATTCTGATTCAGCGAAATGCTTACATGTTGATGATTCTAATGACTTTTTTGAAGATTCAGTAGATGTTGATTATGAGTCCTGTATTAAAGAGAATGATGATTCAATTGATTGTAACTAAGAGGTAGTAGAAGATTATGTGAATAGTAAAAAAAATCAAAAAGAGGTTTCACATGGTAAAGGCAAAGGACATGTAGAATGTTCTTTACGTAGTAATTCTGGTTTGTGTGATTCGAATTAGGTTAAGCTTGAAAATTAAGTATAAATATAGATTTTAGTTTTATTATTATTATTATTGCTATTCTTTTCATGTTTGTAATGTGCTGTGTTTTGAAATTTTATTATTTTTATTTTTTTTAAGTATACTTATTTTTTTTTATAAGATTTTGTTAGATATATTTATATGTTATATATACATTTAAGTACATATATATATATATATTTTTGCTTTTTCTCAGTATTTTTTTGTTTAGTTTTATTGAGGTCATTATTACAATAAAATACTGCTTTATTTATAAAAGGTATCTGATTTAATTGGATAGAATTACTTTATATACAACATTTCATGTATAGATGCTCTGTTTATCATGAATTTCACCATTTTTGACTAATATTTTGATATTACAGTAAGATCGAGCTCTTGAGAAAGCTATATAAAGCTGACCGTAAGTGAATACATGTTCAGGCAGGTAGAGCCCCATGTTTAGAATAGTTTGACCCTGAGATTTATTGATCGTCAGGGCAAAAGTGAGTTTAATCGTAAATTGCTTTCTTTTTAATACGAAAGGTAGTTTAGCATTACTTGTCACAGATTAAAACGAAATCTGATCAAAACGAAATTTTTCTATTTTTTAAGGAAAATTTAAAATTTTTTGGGAGACATTTTTTGGGGTTCTTTTTAGCATTAGGGGTAGGGTTTAGGGT